CTTTTGGTCCTGTTTTTTGATATGGGAGCTGGGCTGTGCAGACCACACACCTCTTTGCCAGCTGGCAAAAAGAACCTAAGCAGCGTTAGGTTCTTGCAATAGAGGGCGCTAGAGAGAGAGACTGCAAGGCTGGAAGAGGAAGAAGGGATTTTCTTCTCTTCCCAGTGTTCTATTTTTCATGCCATGGTGAGCAAATCAGTGTCCCAGGGGTCCCAGAGGGCTTCCCCAAATAGCAGCAATTCTCCCAGTTTCACCCCAGTGGATGGCCTCCATCCGCTTTCCTCCCCAATCCAGCGGCAGGCATCATGTTCCTGCAGTAGCTGCCCCTCTCATCAGAATCTTACAGGCTTGTGAGAGATCCTTGCTTCTGTTCCTAAGTCCCTTCCGTTTTTACTTTTCCTTAAGTACTAGGGGTAGTAGCATTTTTTTTTTCAGTTGCTACCTCTAAATACCTTACAGTTCTTACTACTTTTACTAGTTAACCATCCTATACCTAATGGATAACTAAAATACTTACGTTTTCCTGCTCAACTTACTGCTGTGGTTCCCATCCCCAGACTGACTGTAGCTTGACTAATATAAGACTTGACATGAAAACTAAAGGCCAAGAACGAAAACCAATTCAAAGTTTCTTATTTTTTGTTTCTCCTAAAACGCTCATACAACAAATAAGATTATTCTCTTCCCCCTGATTTTATGATTATTTCTGGGATGGTGGTTGAGTGGACATGTGTTTTAAGCATGTTCCCCTGGATACCAGTCCTGTTCTGACAGAAGTACTTGACAAGTATCGCATATATTCATAGTTTTACTATAGCTTGCCTTATTGTAGCCCCAAAGGACTGCTTAGAAATATTTAAAGCCCTTTATTTGTGGAAGGCAGAAGCTTGACATGGTAATCATTTATGTAAAATCTCATGATAAAAAAGAAATTAACACATGTCATACTACCTTCTTTGGTGTCCAATTTAACTATGCCCAGTGATTATGAAAAGGTCGCTAAAACTTGGGGTCTATTTTAAATCTACATATCAAACAATACATTATGAATGTGGCATAAAGATGTTGTATATTCATGTTTGAGTATAATTGTGTATAATGTCCAGTCACCTCTACAGATCTCAGCAGACTCTGGGTATTTGAACCTGACCCAAGTTATACAAAACAAGATAACAATCACCAGAAATAAAGACTAGGATAGAAGAGATCAAAATATTAAGTCAAATATTCACCATCTCTCCTCTTTTCTGCCTGTGAAGGAGACTTCTAATTGGTCCATCACACTTTTTCACTTTTTCATTATGTCAACTCGGAGTGGTGGTGCTGGAGGTACTGGTATAGATATAGAAGTAAGGGAACTAGATAACTAGAGTGATCTTGCCCTACAATAGAAAAGAAATGTAGGGGGCAAAGAAGGAAAAGAAATAAAAGGACCTATAGTTGTTAACAGAGGGAATAAGCAAGTGGGAGAAGGGGAGCAGTAAGGATTGACACAGAAGAGCCAAGGAGAATCTGACACAGCAGAGGTAGAGAGTCTCTGAGGGGCAGGGGGGTGAGGGAACAGTATATGTGACTGCAGTAAAGGTGTGGATCTGGGAGGAAGATAGGTAGAGATAAATTAACCTATTCAGGATATTGTCTGGGTTATAGCATATACCACACACGATTCTGTTATGGAAAATTACAATTATAGTGTTTGGTGACATTATTTACATTGTTAAGATTCTATTCTTCAACACAACAAATGTTAAATTAAAAGGAAACATACCAGGCACACATTAACTAATGTATTTCTTGCTTCATAGTAACATTTAAAAAAAATTTTTTTTTAATTTTTTAAAATATGTAATACCTGCTTGGAAGTTAGGGGACTAGATAATGGCATATATCTGCCATCTGTTGAATAGGCAAGAATAATCTAAATTGGCAACGCAGAATTGATGAGCCCTCATAATTACAGAAAGAGCGTGTGATACCTTGGAAACTGAGGTCTTTTGTGTATAAAAAAACTGTACAAGGCCTTTTGGAAGCCTTCATTTTTGTTATACACAACTATTGTCTCTGAGTTTTGTGAGTTCCATTTCAATTAAGAGAGTAGTAGTTCATATCAGACCAGCCCTCCCACAGAAAACAATGAGAGATTTTGGACAAATACACACATATATATACACGTGTGTGTGTGTGTGCGCGTGTGCATGCATGTGTGTGTTTGTGTGTGTATTTTAACTTTTAAGTTCCGGGGTACATGTGCAGGTGTGTTACATAGGAAAATGTGTCATGGGGGTTTGTTGTACAGATTATTTCATCACCCAGGTATTAAGCCCAGTACCCATTAGTTATTTTTCCTGATCCTCTCCCTCCTTTCATCCTCCACCCTCCAATAGGCCCCAGTGAGTACTGTTCCCCTGTATGTGTCCATGTGTTCTCATCATTTAGCTCCCGCTTATAAAAGAGAACATGTGGTATTTGGGTTTCTTTTCCTGTATTAGTTTGCTAAGGACAATGGCCTCCAACTCTGTCCATGTCCCTGCAAAGGACATGATCTCACTGTTTTTTATGTCTACATATTATTCCATGGCATGTATGTACCACATTTTCCTTATCCAGTTTACCACTGATGGACACTTAGGTTGATTCCACGTCTTCACTATTGTGAACAGTGCTGCAATGAACACAAACATGCATATGTCTTTATAATAGAATGATTTACATTCCTTTGGGTATATACCCAGTAATGGAACTGCAGAAGATTAAAACTGGACCCCTCCTTTACCTGATATATAAAATCAACCTCAAGATGGATTAAAGACTTAAATGTGAAACCCAAAACTATAAAAATCCTGGAAGACAACCAAGGCAATAGCATTCAGGACAGAGGCAAAGGCAAAGATTTCATGACAAAGATGCCAAAAGTGACTGCAACAAAAGCAAAAAGTGACAAATGGGATGTAATTAAACTAAAGAGCTTCTGCACCATAAAGGAAACTGTCAACAGAGTAAACAGACAACCTACAGAATGGGAGAAAATTTTTGCATAAAATGCATCTGACATCTAGTATCTAATATCCAGCATCTATAAAAATTTAAACAAATTTTACAATAAAAAAGTCAACGTAATTGAAAAGTAGACAAAGGACATGAACAGACACTTTTCAAAATCAGACATACATGTGGCCAACAATCATATGAATAAAAGCTCAACATCACTGATTGTTAGAGAAACGCAAATCAAAACCACAAGGAGATATCATCTCACACCAGTCCAAATGGCTATTATTAAAAAGTCAAAAAATAACAGATGCTGGTGAGGTTGTGGACAAAAAGGAACTTGTATACCTTTGATGGGAGTGTAAATTAGTTCAACCATTGTGGAAATGTATAGAGTGAGGCAAAAGAAACATGTCAAGCACAAAATTCAAAGGGATGCAAAAAAAAAAAAAAAAAAAACCATGAAGCACACCTACAGGATCTAGAAATAGCCTCAAAAGGGCAAACCTAAAAAAAAAAAAAAAAAAAAAAAAAACTCAGTAATCCAGATAAACACATTTTGAGTGATAAATACATTTTGAGTGCAATATTTTAAAAAATCAAAATGAGTACCCTAACGAACCATGATGAACATAGAATCAAAATGTAAATAAGAAATAAAATCGGTATGACTGATCTTTTTCTTTTACTTCTGTTGCTAATATAGCTCAGCACAGCACTGTTACTGATTGTTCCTTATTTAAAACGTTGATATTCTTCTCATCATGGGCTTTTTACTTAACTTTGTAAATGAGAATTAAAGAAATTTTTCTGGCTTCTGAAAAGGAGATAGGTGCTCAGCGAGCGGCCTAGACAAGTGCTGCAAAATATGAGTTGGTATTATCCACCCCTCCAAACTAATCAATTATTCTACCCAATGTCAGAAATATATAAGTGAATGTTATCATTTCAACAGTGCTGAACACATCCCAGCCATTAATGCTAAGTATCAGCTTCATTTTCATCTATTTGCTTAGCATTTGGTGCTTAATGTAGTGTAGTCTACAGCAACTCTAGTATGGAACACTACAGAACAACTTGACAATTTGAACCAAAACTGCTGCGAAGGAAATAATGATCTAGTGCACCACTGTGGAAAGTCTCCAAAACAGTGGAGGGCAAAATCTTTTGGATATAGCCTCTCTTTCAGATAATTTGAATGCACTTTGACAGAACTTGATGATAAACGTGGGTGGTACACTGAGAGATGCTCTGTCAGAATTCCTTCAAGGAAGTAGGTACTTACTGCCCAGCCGTGGGGAGGACAATCAGGAGGCAACCCAGCAATCAGCAACTTCAAGTTCCACCTCAGCTGTAAGGAGTCACCTCTCCAGAGATTTCACCCTTTTCAAGGCAGCCTGCCGCTGCTGACTAAGCAAGGCAGTTGTTGAAAGGCCCCATCACTCTGAAGTACAATGTTCCCTTTATTACTCCTGTTGAACTGGTCAAAGATTTGTTGGCCTGCATTCCAGTTCAACTTTTTCCTCTACCCAGTCCTGCTTACTGTCCTTCCTTTCCCATCTTACCCTCTGAAACCCATCTAAATAAGCATCTGCTCCCAGAAAACCCAACCTGTGACAGGGAGTTAAACTTCCAGACATTTTTCTTGTTACAGTATTATTTAGAATAACCACAAAAAAGTACGCAAAAAAGAATAAATATCCAACTGTATTTGCAACATATATTTTTGAGCGCTCTCAGTTTAAATCTGAATTATATAGTTATAATGATTTTGGATTCAGTTTTTTGGTTGACATTATTTAACATACAATTCCTCAGAGCAACTTTGTCGAGATATTTCTCTTCTGCAATGCCTTTACAGTATTCTATAGTGGATTTCTTAACTGTCTCCAAATTTATGGCCTTACATTGTTTACTGTTTTTTCACTGCTTGAAATAGTGTTGTTATAATATTTATGTACAAATTGCCTTCTTTCCCTTTTGATTAATTCCTTTGACAATTGCCTTCCTAGAGTTGAACCAGAGTCCGGTGAATATCAGCACTGGGACCAGTTAGCAGAGGAAAAGGGAAAAGAATGAAGAGCCATATGATTACCAACTTTTCCTTTTTCATGTAAATGAAGTGTATATGGGTCTGGAACAACCTGAATTTCCATGAAGTCCTGGCTAACCTCATTACGTCCTATGAATATTTTTGACTAATTCCACTTTACATTAATCTGTATTGTGAATGTGGATATTGAACTATATTTATTTGTAATCCCATTATCCAAAATCCAGTTCAGAGACTATTAGTTACCAATGTTCACTGTGAAGAAAAAAGAAAAAAAAGCTCAGAGGATAAACATGTGATATGGTTTGGCTGTGTCCCCACTCAAATATCATCTTGAATTGTAGTTCCCATAATTCCCATGTGTTGTGGGAGGGACCTGGAGGGAGATAATTGAATCATGGGGGTGGTTTCCCCCATACTATTCTCATGGTAGTGAATAAGTCTCACAAGATCTGACGGTTTTATGAGGGGAAACCCCTTTCACTTGGCTCTCATTCTCTCCTCTGGTCTGTCGTCATGTGAGACGTGCCTTTCACCTTCTCCACCATGATTGTGAGGCCTCCTCAGCCACATGGAACTGTTAGCCCATTAAACTTCTTTCACTTATAAAGTACCCAGTCTCTGGTATATCTTTATCAGCAGCATGAAAACAGACTAATACAACATGTTTGGAAATGATGTTTGGAATTACATTTTCTTCTTGAAGAATAATAATGTACAGGAGTGTGTTGAAGATTTTGAGAATTCTTACAGCAAAGGAACTTGTTAAAGTTTTAATCCACCTACCTAATAGAATTAATATTTTAAGGGAAACAGCTTGTGAAACAATTGTATATATACTACCATAAAAACTTTTAGAAAACAATTATTATACACACATATAAACACATATTACTTACTAGTAAAGATGTACCTATCTTCCTAGGAAGCTCTTTCATGGCATTTCATTAGTATCCCTTCCAGCACCTACCAACCATCCAGGCAAATTTTAGATGTTTTGCAAAGGTTTATGAAATTGCATTAAACACCTGTTAAAAATCACTTCGTTCATTGCAAGACATTTATATACTGTAATTTTAAAGAAAGATAACAGCTGACGGGAGCTACAGGAAAAAGAAAAGCATAGAACTTATGTTGAATTATTTTTCTTGTGCATATGAAGTTGCTCTGTGAGAACAAGAGCACTCAGCAGATGTATAGATCCACTATCTTTTCACATGGCAATATGTTCATCCTTTCAGAAAATTTGAGCAAGTTGGGAACATAAAATAATACAAAGAGGCTAAAATGCAAAGCAAAAAAAAAAAAAAAAAAGAAAACGATTGGCACAAGATAATGGAGCAATTGTAAGAGATGTTACATGTGTAAACTTAAACCAGGACATTAACCACTGAAGTTCACCATTTAAGGAAGTATACAAATATATAATAGTCCTGCTAAATGCTTGGAGTAGCAGATTTCTATCACATGCATCCACATGCACATCTTACATTAAAATCCCATGACAACAGTGTTAACATCTTGTCATTTTAGCCTTGAATGTCAAAGGCTCATGGGATCTACTCCATGACTCACATAACCTGTATATCTAGAAACAAGTATTTTAAACTCTACATGTGGTGATAAATATTAAAGATAGAAGATGAGAGTTCTAAAACAGTCTACTTATTTCATTTCCACTTGGCTTTGCCACTACTACCTAAACTATTACAGATCAAGCTCCACAGACTACTCAGAATTCTCCCCCTCTCTTGAAATTCCAAACGCAATTTTCCCAGGATTTTTAGAAATTTATGAAATTATTAGCCAAAGACATTATATTTCAAGATTAATCCCTCATCTTACAGTTTAGAAAACGAAGAGTCAGCTGAAAATACTTGCTCAAATTCAGAGAATGAATGTTGTCTAAATTAGTTCAAAAACAAGTGACTCTTGGCTTGTAATACAATTTTTTCACTGCATTATTCTAAGAAAATTTGTTAGTAGAGCTGAAATAATATACCATTAGCGTTAAAAAGTACAAGTTTTAAAGTTACAAAGAACAAGGTAGTGAAAGGCAAATTACTCAACCTCTCTAAACGTGGTTTATTCATTAGTAAAAGAATAAGAATATTATTTATGACATAGTATTAGGAGTTTTAAACAATGTAGAATACTGAAAATGGCAAAAAAACTATTAACTATTGTCATTATTACATATGTAAGTAAAATTTATTTTCTGCATATCACTGTGTTAGTCTATTTTCATACTGCTACAAGGAACTACCCAAGCGGGTAATTTATGAAGGAAAGAGGTTTAATTGACTCACAGTTCAGCATGTCTGTTGGGGTCCTCAGGAAACTTACAATCATGATGGAAAGCAAAGGAGGAGCAAGGCACCTTCCTCACAAGGCGGCAGGAAGGAGAAATGCTGAGCAAAGGGGGAAGAGCCCCTTATAAAACCATCAGATCTAGTGAGAACTCACTATCATGAGAATCGCACGGAAAAAACCGCTTCTATGATTCAATTATCTCCACCTGGTCCCTCCCTTGACACATGATGAATTACAATTCAAGATGAGTCGTGGGTGGAGACACAAAGCCTAACCATATCAATCACCATATCTTTCAAAAACTATAAATAATTTTCATTACATTTGGAGGTCAGTCTCATGTAAATTATAATGAGGTATCATATTCAAAATCCACTTTGATCTCTGCTTCTAAGAGAATGGAGTGGACATAATTTCCCAGTCCTCCCACTGGGCACAACTAAAAACTCTGGACATTATATATAAAACAAATGTAAGAAGACCCTAAAGCATGGAAAGAAAAAGGCAGTTGAGTTGGGAAATCAGAATTCAAGGAACTACATAGTGGTGAATTTCCTGAGTTTTCATCTTGCCTCCCATATCATCTTAGACTGGGCACTAAAGAAATCAACAACCCAAAAATACTAAAATGCTAATGGACAGAAACACCAAAACACACATATACACACACAAATAAAAACCCAAGAGAAGCCTGCTTTCTCTTGCCAATGGACCAGAAAAGAAGCAGCATAGGAAGACAGAAAACATTTAGACAATAACCACCTTACTGTAGCCAAACACTATGTAAAATACTGCATGCCCACCCCTACAAGCAAAGGCAGAAGGGAAAGTCCAGTCTTTGGACTCTTTCCAGGCTGTCAGGAGGTGCTGCAAGTTCTACCTACCTCCAGAGTGGTGTCAGAGAAGACAGAGTGGAAAGCTGAGACCATCATCCCTATCAGGTGGTAAAGAGGATCCCCTTCAGGGCGTCAGGGGAGTCCATGGGAAGAGGGATAGGGATTTGGATTTCCATCCCACCCAGAGGCACCAAGGCACCCACACTCCTCTCACTGAGGCACTGTCAGAGGAGGTCTAATGGAGAGTCAGTACTTTAATGTGGCTCAGTAGTAACAAGCGCAACCCCGAAAGTGCTAGTAGAGGCCATGTGGGAAGCTGTAAGAAGACATCCCTCCCCTCCCAGCCAGGGTGGTATCAACAGATACCTAATGGGGAACTGAGTTTTGACCAAAGTGCAAAAGCAATTCAATGGAGGAAGAATCTTTTCAATAAATGTTGCTGGAGAAGTTGGATACCTATAGGCAAACAAACAAACAAACAAAAAAACAACTAAACAAACAAACAAACAAAAATTAGACCTCAAAAGTTTAACAAAAATTAACTCAAAATAAATAGTATATTTAATATAAAATGTAAACTACAAAACTTACAAAATAACACTGGGGAAAATTTTCAGGACCTATGGCTTGGTGAAGAAAATGTAGATATGACACCAAAAGCACAATCCATACAAGTAAAAAATCAATAAATTGGATCTACTTTGGCTCTGTGAAAGATCCAGTTTAAGAGAATGAAAAGATAAGCTATAGAGTGGGAGAAAATATTTGCAAATCTCACTGATATTTCTTAAAATTGAACAGTAAAAACAAATAACCCAATTAGAAAATGGGCCTTCCCCACCTCCAAAAAACCCAAGAAGAGACATTTCAGACATGTAAGCAGATGAAAAAATGTTCAACGTCACTAGCTATTAGGGAAATGCAAATGAAGACCATGATGAGACATCACTACATACCTTTCAGCATACTGACATAAAAAAAAAAAACACAGTGACAAAACCAGATGCTAGCAAGGATACAGAGAAACTTGATGTCTTATACATTGCCAGTGGGAACATAAAATGGTTAAGCCACTGTGGAAAACAGTTTGACTGTTTCTTAAAGTAATTAAACATATGCTTACCATACAACCCAGAAATTGTACTCTAGGGCATTTATCCCAGAGAAATGAAACATTATCATAGCAGTTTTTTGTTGTTGTTATAGCCAAAACCTGGAATACAGCAATAAAAAGGAATAAACTATTAATACACATCATGATTTGGATGGATTTCAAAGACATTACAATAAGCGAAAAAAAATTATCAAATGACACATTTATATGTGAGCTCATTTGTATAACATTCTTGAAATGATAAAATTACAGAGACAGGAAAAAAATGGTGTTTCCCATGAGTTAGGGATGGTATAGGCGAGGAAATTGAGTGCAGCTATAAAGGGGTCGTTTAAGGGAGATCTTTGTGGTAAAGGAATAGTTTTATATCTTGATTGCCCTGATGATAGAGACTGATGAATCTACATATATGATAAAATAACATGGAATCATATATACTCATTGTCTGTTTTCTGTCTTTGATGCTGTATTACAATTATATAAGATGCACCCACTGGTGGAAACTGAGAGAAGAGTACGTGGGTTTTCTCTGTGCTACTTTTGCAACTTCCTGTGAATCTACAATTATTTTAAAATAAACATTTTTTGTTTAAAAAAAATTCACTTTGGGGACACTCCTGGGGAGCAACAAGGGGTTTGTATAACTACCTGTTCAAAGAAAGCAACATGCAGTACAAAAGATGTTTGGCTACTGATTGAAGAAAAATATTATACACCCAGTTTTTTGTGGCAGAGAAAACAATCCATTCATTCCAATACGGGTTCCCACTAGATTTCATGGTTTTCAAACCCTGACTACAGATTAGAACAAAGTGGGGAGCTTTAAAAATGTTCAACATCCAGCTTTACCTCCATGGATGCTCGCTTCATTGACCTTGGATGATCATAATTATTCTAGATAATTCTAAGTGTATTCTGGACTGAGGCATGCCATATTTCACTAAGGAACGTGACATTAGTTCTGTGTCTGAAATTTGACACTATTGTTGAGCCCTGTAAAGGAGGAGTAAACCCAAACTTTTATGTTATTCTGTTAGTGAGGTTATGCTAAGGCCAGTTACTGAGCCACCTGAACCTCCTAAATGTTAATTAATGAAGCAATATCCTTTACTCAGGCAGTTTAAAAATAACATAGGTAATTTTCAACTAGCTATGTTTACAAAGAAATCAATGTTTTATTCTTTGGACATCACCAATTATCTCAAATGATCTTTTTACTTTTTTGTGGTATTAATAAGAGCAAGAAAAACATGCTCCAAATTTCAGACATTAATTTGCGATGAACTGCTTCTGAAAGAGGTAATTCTATATGGAGTGAACTAAGATAAATAGCAGCAGGGAACTTTT